TTTACCCAGGTTTGGGGCTCTCCGAGGAGATAACACCCCTACTCCTGCTCTGCGGGGTCTCCACATGATCACTTAAGGCACTAATGAGTACAATGATGCTCCTCGAGCTGTATGCTAAAGGTCAAAGGAGGCAGGGCTAGCTCTCTTATTCCTCTAGTGTGAGTCTAGTTCTATCTGATCCCGAACCCTTTGCATGGGTGGCCTGGGGGGTTTATATAGGCCTACACCCCAAGGGTACAGTGGTAATCTGGTTGGGCATAGGGCCCGGCTGTCAGCGTCTCCGGGTGCCGACTTCTCCGTCGGCTGCTGGGACCCGCCGCGTGGTCTGGTACGGAGTCGACATGCCGCTTCCGCCGCTGGCGGGTCTGGTTGGCTGGTTACTGTAGCCATAAGGCTAATGACGCATGCTTGGTCGTGAGAAGGGCGTGACTACAGTCCCGCCATGTCTTGTCTGGTTAATGGCGCGCGGGTCCCGCGAGAGGGCGTGGCCGCCTTTGAGAAGCCGGATCCCCTTGGGTCCGATTGTCCAGGCCACGCCGCCTTCTGGGCCTCGGCTGCCTGGTAGGGCCCGCCGCCTGCGGGCCGTACCGACAGGCCATCGTGGGAGTACGCCCTGCCGGTTAGGGGTGACCTCGAAACATAAGATCTTCCACTGCCTGGTCATTGCCCCCAGCCGATCCAAAACACAAGTGTACTTACTTCGCCATCCTCTCCCCTGAAAGACAAAGTCGTTACACAAAAGCCATAAGCTCCATAAGATAGCAGAAGTGTCGGTGTTAAGAGCTTCACACTGCTTCTTTTTTCTTCCAGAAGGAAGATCAAATGTAAAAGATGCAGGAGGAGGGATATTGAAAGATTCAGCAATCACATCCCAAATTTCTCTAGCAACAATGCAATCAAAGAGCAAGCGTTACACCGATTCCAGTTCATTGCATACTAGTACCACATCAATCTCTTATGTTGAATCTCACCAATTTATATACGACCACAAGTCGCCTAAAATATCAATAAGAAGCCTAAGAAACCGACTGGAACCGCATTAAGCGGAGAACGTGCCTTGATTGGAGGAACCAGATCATCTGATGTAAGAACAAAGTACTGCAGAGGGACGTCGATCATTTGCTACCATCCCATGTGGATCCGACTGTGACCGGTGGAACCAAGCGAACACAGGGCAGCAGTCGGCCCACAAAGCGAACACAGCGCCGTTTTTGCTCTGTTTTCTCAAAAAAGAAAAATCTGATCTTTGGTCTTGTGCGTACGTGTAAATATTCTGGCTCTCTCTTGCGGTCTTCCTCGTCAATAGCTTCAAATGACATGCTCACAAATTCATTGGTGTTGACAACACCAACGATCTGCTCCCCAATGATATTACGTATCTATTTACAACATGAATGGTAGGCTCACAAATTCCTCTCGTTTATATGCTCAGATCACCAATGATCTGCTCGATATTCCTCTAACATAATTTAATTAAGAAGAAAGTTCTGGGATGCTAACTTGCAGCAGCGACGACCACGTACTGCCATTGTTGTCCGTGTCGTCATCGTTGTCCTAGCGGCAGAAGGACGCGGGGCCGCGATAGCTTTGCCCGGCCGTCGCCTGACAGCACGTGGCCGTCACCACGGTGGTGACAGAGCTGTCCTACCTCGGGTCTGCTTGGTAGTGGGTGGAAGCTGCGGGTCGACGTCCCTTGTAAATTGTAATACAAGCGTGCGAGGGGCTCATCAATTTTCATCCCCCGGTCCACACCTGGCTACGCTTGCTCCCTTGCCGGCGACCAGAAACCCTAGCTCGCCATGGGCTTCTTCAGCGGCAAGGGCAAGTTCGGCCCCAGCGCGATCTCGTCCCGCACGCCGCCGTCGCCACCTTCTCGACGCGGACCCTGGAGGTCAAGCCGACGTTGACCGGCCATTTAATGTTTAATTATGTTCATTTCGTCCGCATGTTTTTGAAATATATATTTTTTGACGCGGGAAAAATAGTCTGCCACCCGTTGGGTGCACCGACCGACCCAAACCAAAAAACGGGCCTGCTCGTCCGCTCAGGTGATCCAAATGGACAAAAGATGAACAAAACGCGCGTCCGTTTGGGTCGCGGCGTTGGCATTGCTCTAAGTTACCTAGTCATTTTTTTTTTCTTTTGATCTATATATACGAAATTCCCTAGTCAACGTGTTGGCAGCGGCAGCGGCAGTATACACGTCAGACGATCTGGTCGGAGGGATTGTGTCAGCTGAACGTGCGATCGAGGACATGCTTGATTTATTGGCTGCTTAGGGCATGTACAATGGAGGCAGCACCTTGGTGCTGCCCCAGCCCATCCAGCTAGATAGAAAAAATGAGGCATCAGATTATTTTATTTTCACCCAATGCATGTAGCTCAAGCAATCAGTGTGTGGGGTCCCATAGTTGTCACCTTCCTCCTCCCAAGCACACATGCAGCGCCATCTCTGCTCTCCTTTTCTTCTCTCTCTCCTCTCTTTTTCTTCTCTCTCCCATGAAGCGGCGACCTCTTCTGCAGGCCACCCCGACACAATGCAAGGCTACTGTACTAGCTCCACGCTGGCATCCGAGCCTAGTTGGCAGCGGGGCATCAAGTTTAAGGCATACCATTGGCCATGTCGTTAGGCTGGTCATAGTGGGGAGTAACTTAGACTAGTAACATGCATACGTTACTAGTCTATGTTACTATTTTCATAGTGGGTAGTGTCATAGATATGGTAACATAGAACACTTCATTTATTATTTTGTAGACTCATTTTACATTGGAAACCGTTATGTGATGGTAACATATTATGTTACTCCATTTGCATCTCTCTTCATTAATTACTTGACACATCATATTTCTTGTCTATGTGGCATGCATGTTACTACCTATGTTACTCCCACTATGAGCAGTCTTAGGGGTTTGTGGATTTAAAAAAAGAGGGGGGTATGGGGACTATTGCCCCCCCCCCTCCCCCTCCGCGAGGAAACATTAATTTTTGCAATGATTGTTTATACCACTGACTTGAATGGATGTGAACTGAGTATAACAAAACAGTGCATGAGCATAAATACACCACTGCATACTCAAAATAGACAAGTAAATTGTTGAGTGAAACACCGGGGATGTGTGAACCGAGTGGCGGCATCGTCGCCATGTTCTTCATCCGCTCAACACAGTTTTTTTTTTACAGATAATATCATCCTTGTGACAAAAGAATAATAAACAGGAACAATGACAAAATGTTCACCTCAAGATGGATCTCGGAGCTTACACATCACATGAGCAAAGTTAGATCTTCTGACGTATCATCGCCCATTTGACGCCAACGTTCAGTGGCTCTACAGACATCCAAATAGACAAGCAACACATGATGTGCTTCTGCTATTTCTCTGCTATCCATCTTCTGAGTCATGCACCACATCCAGGCATCATGAATTATGTGCAGCATGAAAACTGTTGTGTTTGTGTCTGATCAACATCAACATAACACTCTTTTCGCAATTAAAAAAAAATTCAACATAACACTCGCTGCGTACTCGAAACGGATCAACCGAACTTTTTTGGACGAAGAAAACATTGGGTGTGCGAACCGAGTGGACGCGCCGTCACCATGTGCAGACGCTTGAGGCGTGTTTTTTCTGAACTTGCAGACATGATAACATTCAGATTCTGATTAATCAGATTCTGATTAAATTGCATGATAACATGATAACTTGCAGACATGATAGCGTTCGATGGTCAATCAGATTCTGATTAAATTGCATCACACACATGATAACATTCAGCTGGATCTCCAAAATTATGAACAGGGGTGGAAGGTCTTGACACTGTTACTACAAGTAGTACTACAAGTAGGAACAGAACGGAACAGCACAGGCAACAAGTGACATGTGCAATTCTGTCTTCCCCATTTTCTATTGCAGATAGACATGTATCCATCTGAGCTAGCAACATATCACATCAGGAAGTAGTGCAGTTCAGAGCTATGGACAATCCACATCAAGAAGTAGTAAACAGGTATATCCATCTGAGCTACACACATCGCATCAGGAAGCACTGCAGTTCAATTAGATGCCCTGATGTATCATCACCGTCATCCTTAACACTAACCCTCGGTCGACCTTACAGGATTCTGATCCACAGTTCATCATCATCACACCAGGAAGCAGTGCAGTTCAGCTGCCTCACAGTGCAATTCTGATCCACAGTTCATCATCATCATACGGTAGCCCTATATAATTCTGGTTAACACTGCACATCACACAGAATTACAGATATAAATACTCGTTGGTTCCTCGTAATCCAAAGCAACAGGCTAATTTTTCGTTCCATAAATTAGGGGGAAGCAACTGCTGTTACAAGTAGTATGAACATATATAGCAGGCAACAAGTATCATGTGCAATCCAGTGGTTATTCAACATTCTTGCTAAAAATACACCATAGACATAATTAACATTTCAGTGGGTCCCCAAAATTCTAAACAACAATGGAAGATCTTGATATAATATACCCATGCAGATAAGAACATAACTGTGATCAACAGCACACCATCACACAGGAATAATATCCATTGGATCCACAAAATCAAAAGCAACTCGAAGACTTTTTTCAGCTGATAAACAGAAAAACAAGTGTTGCTCCAAGCAGGCAACAAGCAGTTAACATATGTAATTCTGTTTTTTCATTTACTGCAAATAAACATATGTTTCCTTCTGAGTTATTACACCATCCACATCTGGAAGCAATGCAGTTCAGATGCACCAACGTATACTAATAATAATCCAGTTCCCCCCTTTTTTTTCTTTTCAAGTATATATACAGTTTGTGTGAGTTCTAAAGATACATTCCATGTACATAACACAACCTAACACAGATTAGAAGGATAGATAATAAGCCCTTCCTTCCTTCCTGATCGCTATCGCAAATTATCCATCATACAAATGTGCAACAGGAGAAGGGCCAACCCAAATCAAATGTACATACATACCGGCGGCTCATGAGTCTCCTCCTACAAGAATATATCGTCGACGCCCACCGCGGTCGATGGTGGCGCCTCCTCCTCCTCCTCCTCCATCTCCGGCTCGGGCTCCATGCCAAACTCGGGGGAGTCGATGTCGGCGAGGTTCTTGAGGTCAACCACGGACAGCTCGTCGAGCCGCTTGACCACCAGGTCGGCTGCGCCGAGCTCGTAGACGGGGTGCTTGCTCGCGACGGCCACACACTTCATACGGGCGTCGTGCGCGGCCTCCACGGCGGAGTTGGAGTTGCCGAACACGACGCAGCGCTCGGGGATGAAGCCGAGCAGCTGTGCGGCGTAGAGGAACAGCTCGGGGTCGGGCTTGCCCCGGTACACGTCCTCCGCGGCCACGACGGCGTCGAAGAAGCCCCGAGCGCCGACGGCGTCGATGGCCGCCTCGACGGCCTTGCGGGGCCGCGTGGAGGCCACGGCAAGGGGGATCTTGTAGTTGACGAGCGTGCTCATGAACTCCCGCGACCCGTCCCGCATCTGGCTGGCGGCGCCGCGGAGCCCGCCGTGGATCTCCTCCTTGCGCGCCGCCAGGCGCCGCAGCTCCGCGGGGTCCCGGGACCAGCAGAGCACCTCGGAGACCGCGTGCTCCGCCTTCATCCCCTCAACCCGCCGCAGGACGAAAGCCGGGGGTGGGGACTTGCCCTCCTCCTCGGCCAGGGTCAGCCACGCCTGCCGCTCGAGCCGCGTGTCGTCCTCCACCACCACGCCCTCCCACTCGAAGATGACGCCGACCCAGCCGCAGCCCATGCGCTCCAGCCGGAGCAGCGGGTTGTGCAGGCTCGGGTCGTCCGCCCTGTTCCGCGGCGGCCACGACGGTACCGCCGCTGGGGGTGCGGCGTCGTCGGTCCCTAATCCGTTGTCGCCGTCCCCTGGGATCCCCCGGAACTCCTTCCACGGGACGGCCTCCTTGGTGAACCCGACGGCGGCCAGCGCCCTGACGGGCCAGTCCGCGAGCCGCTGGCGCTCCGGCCTGGGCACCCGGGCCACGAGGCGGCGGCCCGCGAAGGGCGTGGCGAGGGGCCGGCAGCTGACGACGTGGAGGAGGGTCCGCGGCCGGCGGGGCCGGTGGTGGTCGGAGGGGTGGCGCGCGATGAAGGAGGTGCTGGCGCTGACCGTGTCCACCATCATCATGGCTGATGCCGCTCCTGGATCCGCCCGCCTTCGCCTCGCCCACCTACCGGTCGATCAATCAAGAAGAAGAAGGAGCAAACGACGAGATCCCTGAGCTCCTCCGCCCGAAATTCGTCCGCTTTATCGCTGATTCCACGCTGCAAGAAGAAGAAGGATGAGAAGGAGACCGGTCAGAATTCAGAAACCCAATCCGCGGGAGGAAGAAGGGAGGAAAGGCAAAGAAGAATCCATGGCAGGAAGCGAACAAAACAGAGCAACGGACACCAACCACGGGGACGAAACAGAGCACCTAATCCTCCTCCTAATCAACGGGGAGGCAGGCAGCCTAGCAGACAAACAAAGAAAGAAACCAAAGGAAAGAGGATGGATTCGATTTGGGGATTCTTGCACCAATCTATCTATCTATAGATGGACAGCCGCCCCTCCTCTGGATTCGATTCGGTCGGGTTCCTCTCCGAGAGGAGCGGAGGGTAGAGGATGAGAGGGGAGAAGAGGTGGCACGCACCGTACCGTATCGTACCGTGGCGTCCCGGCGACGGAGGCGGCGAGGATCGGGGATGGACCTTAGCTTCTCCTTCCTTCGTCGGTTCCTTCTTCCTTGGTCTCTTCTTTTCCTCCACGCGATGGATTGATTGATCGATTTTTCTATTGGTGGTGGTGGTGGTGGAGGAGGAAGCCGAGACGAGTCCCCGCCCGATGCGCGCCACGTCGCCCGAATGTGAGGCGGAGGTGGCGCCTCCCGCGGCCCAGGAATTACCAGGAGGCTTCCTACCTTTTCTTCTTCTTTATTCATATTCATATCACAATTATAATTAAATCTAAAAATGCTACGAGCGCCTCACACAGGTTGTCATGAAAATGAATGTCGACGCTTCTTATTTTGAGGATCGGTCATGAGCTGCAGCAGCTGCTATATACTTCGGAACTCAAAGAGGGAAGCGATGATGGCAGGTCGTTTATGGGTTCTCAAGAGTTTACTCAACAGCACGACAGCGGAGGCTGTGAGGTTGCAAAGGAGGTTTTCTACGGTACAAGATCTCGGATGCATTGGCGTTATTATGGAATAATCTGATTCTCTCGAGCGTACTCAATCATGCAATGGAATTGTCGAAGCGTGGACACCCTACACACCCATTTTGGCTCATTGCTTTCAAATGGCTAATTCTATAGGTGCAGTGAATCCAATCCACTGTCCTAGCTAGGGGTGCAAACCAGGCCGGCACATAATTTAGCTAGATTCGTACTTACGATTTGAATGTAGAAGTGGATTGGGATGGCCATCCACCAAGCTTCATTGTTCCAGACATTTTATTTGATGTAACTGTCATTTGAATTTTAATAAAGGGCCCCCAAGGGCATCCTCCTCAAAAAACTTACGGCCTTTACGGTGGAGAGTTTGGGATCGGATCGAATGGATGGGAGGCCAGTGAAGATCAAGGGGGCAAGAAAATTAGTTTTAGGCAGGTTACGTTTGTTGATTTAGTACACGGATTATAAAATGAATGTTGATGCTGCTTATTTTGAGGATGGGCCAGGAGCTGCAGCAGCTGCTATATACTTCGGAACTCAAAGGGGGAAGCGATGATGGCATGTCGTTCACGGGTTCTCAAGAGTTTATTCAACAGCACGACAGCGGAGGTCTGTCGTGCTGCGTTGCAAAGGGGGGCTTTCTACGGTACAAGATCTCGGATGCATCGGCGTTTATTATGGAATCTGATTCTCTCGAGCTTATTCAATCGTGCAATGGAATTATCAAAGTGTGGACACCCTTACACGGCCATTTTCGCTTTGATTGCTTTCAAATGGCTTATTCTATAGGTGCAGTGAGTCTCATCCACTGTCCTAGCTAGGGGTGCAAACCGGGCGGCGCATCATTTAGCTAGGCTCGTACTTATGATTTGAATGTAGAAGTGGATTGGGATGGCCATCCACCAAGCTTCATTCTTCCATGCATTTTATTTGATGTAACAACTATCATTTGAATTTTAATAAAGTGTCCCAAGGGCATCCTTCGCAAAAAACATACAGCCTTTACGATGAAGACTTTGGGATTGGATCGAATGGGTGGAATGCCAATGAAGATCAAGGGGCCAAGAGAATTAGTTTTAGGCAGGTTGCGTTTGATTTAGTACACGGATTATATAAATGAATGTTGATGCTGCTTATTTTGAGGATGGATCGGGAGCTGCAGCAGCTGCTATATACTTCAGAACTCAAAGGGGGAAGCGATGATGAAAGGTCGTTCACGGGTTCTCAAGAGTTTACTCAATAGCACGACAGCGGAGGCTATTGCGTTGCAAAGGGGGGCTTTCTACGGTACAAGATCTTGGATGCATCGGCGTTTATTATGGAATCTGATTCTCTCGAGCTTATTCAATCGTGCAATGAAATTATCAAAGTGTGGAGACCCTTACACAACCATTTTCGCTCTGATTGCTTTAAAATGGCTTATTCTGTAGGTGAAGTGAGTCTCATCCACTGTCCTAGCTAGGGGTGCAAACCAGGCATGCACATAATTTAGCTAGATTCGTACTTATGATTTGAATGTAGAATTGGATTGGGATGGCCATCCACCAAGCTTCATTCTTCCAGATATTTTATTTGATGTAACAACTATCATTTGGATTTTAATAGAGGGCGCCCAAGGGCATCCTCCTCAAAAAACTTACGGCCTTTACGGTGGAGAGTCTGGGATTGGATCGAATGGGTGGGAGGCCGGTGAAGATCAAGGGGCCAAGAGTATTAGTTTTAGGTAGGTTACGTTTGTTGATTTAGTACACGGATTATAAAATGAGTGTCGATGCTGCTTATTTTGAGGATGGGCCAGGAGCTGCAGCAGCTGCTATATACTTCGGAACTCAAAGGGGGAAGCGATGATGGCGGGTCGTTCACGGGTTCTCAAGAGTTTACTCAATAGCACGACAGCGGAGGCTGTGGCGTTGCAAAGGGGGCTTTCTATGGTACAAGATCACGGATGCATCGGTGTTATTATGGAATCTGAATCTCTCAAGCTTATTTAATCATGCAATGGAATTACACAGCCATTTTTGGTTGATTTCTTTCAAATGGCTTATTCCATAGGTGCGGTGAGTCTCATTCACTGTCCTAGGGCTGCAAACCGAGCGGCGCATAATTTAGCTAGACTCGTACTTATGATTTGAATGTAGAAGTGGATTGGGATGGCCATCCACCAAGCTTCATTCTTCAAGACATTTTATTTGATGTAACTGTCATTCGAATTTTAATAAAGGGCGTCAAAGGGCATCCTCGTAAAAAAACTTGCGGCCTTTACGGTGGAGACTTTGGGATTGGATCGAATGGGTGGGAGGCCAGTGAAGATCAAGGGGGCAAGAGAATTCGTTTTAGGCAGGTTACGTTTGATTTAGTACACGGATTATAAAAATGCATGTCGATGCTTCTTATTTTGAGGATGGGTCGGGAACTGCAGCATCTGCTATACTTTGGAACTCAAAGGGGGAAGAGATGATGGCATGTCGTTCATGGGTTCTCAAAAGTTTACTCAATAGCACGACAATGGAGGCTGTGGTGTTGCAAAGGGGGCTTTCTATGGCACAAAATCACGGATGCATCGGCGTTATTACGGAATCTGATTCTCTTGAGCTTACTCAATCATGCAATAGAATTATCGAAGTGTGGACACCCTACACAGACATTTTGGCCGATTGCTTCCAAATGGCTTTATTCTATAGGTGCAGTGAATCTCATCCTCTGTCCTAGCTAGGGGTGCAAACCGGGCGGCGCATAATTTAGCTAGGCTCGTACTTATGATTTGAATGTACAAGTGGATTGGGATGGCCATCCACCAAGCTTCATTCTTCCAGACATTTTATTTGATGTAACAACTATCATTTGAATTTTAATAAAGGGCGCCCAAGGGCATCCTCCTCAAAAAACTTACGGCCTTTACGGTGGAGACTTTGGGATTGGATCGAATGGGTGGGAGGCCAGTGAAGACCAAGGGGCCAAGAGAATTAGTTTTAGGCAGGTTACGTTTGTTGATTTAGTACACGGATTATAAAATGAATGTTGATGCTGCTTATTTTGAGGATGGGCCAGGAGCTGCCGCCGCTGCTATATATGTCGGAACTCAAAGGGGGAAGCGATGATGGCAGGTCGTTCACGGGTTCTCAAGAGTTTATTCAATAGCACGACAGCGGAGGCTGCTGCGTTGCAAAGGGGGGCTTTCTACGGTACAAGATCTCAGATGCATCAGCGTTTATTATGGAATCTGATTCTCTCGAGCTTAGTCAATCATGAAATGGAATTATCAAAGTGTGGACAACCTACACAGACATTTTGGCTGGCTTATTCTATACTTGCAGAGAATATCATCCACTATCTTAGCTAGGGGTGCAAACCAGGCCGGCACATAATTTAGCTAGATTCGTACTTATGATTTGAATGCAGAATTGGATTGGGATGGCCATCCACCAAGCTTCATTCTTCCACACATTTTATTTGATGTAACAACTATCATTTGAATTTTAATAAAGGGCGCCCAAGGGCATCCTTCGCGAAAAACATACAACCTTTACGATGGAGACTTTGGGATTGGATCGAATGGGTGGAAGGCCAGTGAAGATCAAGGAGCCAAGAGAATTAGTTTTAGGCAGGTTACGTTTGATTTAGTACACGGATTATATAAATAATGTTGATGCTGCTTATTTTGAGGACGGGTTAGGAGCTGCAGCAACTGCTATATACTTCGGAACTCAAAGGGGGAAGCGATGATGGCAGGTCGTTCACGGGTTCTCAAGAGTTTACTCAATAGCACGACAGCGAAGGCTGTTGCGTTGCAAAGGGGGGCTTTCTACGGTACAAGATCTCAGATGCATCGGCGTTGATTATGGAATCTGATTCTCTCGAGCTTAGTCAATCATGCAATGGAATTATCAAAGTGTGGACAGCCTACACAGACATTTTGGCCGATTGCTTTCAAATGGCTTATTCTATAGTTGTAGTGAATCTCATCCACTGTC